ATCTTCCGCCTGTCCGTGCCTGGGATGTCAAGACTGCTGTCCATCCTTTAATTAGTGACCTCATTTGTTGGGAGAGGTGCAGCATTTCCCTCAAGTACCTGCATGCTCCTAGGTATGCACGCTGATAGGTATGCATGCACGCCAGCACCTTGACTTCCACCAGGACGGTGACTCTTCAGTCCCCACTAACGCCCCCTGTCAGAGTGGGTTCCGCCTCCGTGCACAGCTTCATGCACACGACTTCCGTATCCCGTAGGAGAGATGGTGACCACGCCAGGCTCCCCAGACTCCAACTCTCGTACTTTTAATTTCTGAACTGCCCGAAGCTTTACCCACATCTCCCTGATACCGAATAACTTCTCTGCAAAGGCTGGGGCTGGGAGAACCACAGGTCAGGGCACCCGGGGAGAAGGGGTGATGAGGAGCTAGCTGCTTCCTCAGACCCCTCAGAAACCTTCCTTGGATTAAAGTCAGTTTTTGTGAGAACTGAATGTAGAACTCGGTGAGTAACGGACTCAGAGAGAAGCTGGCAGGGGAGCAAGCAGCTAGAAGTTGTTCTCCCTGTGTTAACTGCCCTGGAAAGAGAAGGGCATGAAGGAAAAGTTGTCTGGTTGTTTCCAGAGACTTCTGGGGTTTTTGTTAATGGAGCTCTGTGAACCAGGCCTCCCTTCTCAGACCTATTAGGGAACCTGGGAAAATTTCATCTCCGTGCTGCAGTTTCCCGCTAGGCACCACCTAGGCCTCTGATAATCTTTAAAAGTCAAATGAAGTTGGCCTTCTGGAGTATTCTGAGTTCCTGAGGACTAGGAGGGCCATTCTCCTCATAAGTCCCACCCAGTTTAGGGACCAGGAAAAGGCCCTGAGGCCCGGTCTCCCTACTGTATCCACTAGGTAGGCCCCTCATGTGAGAGACCGGTACATGTGCCTGGCCGCCCCACCAAGAGATTGAACTGACCAGCCTCTTCCCATGGTTTCAGTTGATAGAACCCAAAGGCAGCTTTCTACCTGTGGGGGTTAGGTACTCGGTGTACATAAGCTCACTAGAACCTTGTGTAGGAAACTGCCAGGTCTGGTTATAAGAAAAGGCTGAGAAATCACTCCCTCCCTTCCCCCCTACCCTGCACCCATAAACCAGACATGTCTCCCAGGAAGCAGGTGTCCCTGGAGACAGAATATGACAGGGCTCTACAATCCGTCTATGTGATTATTTGTGATCTTTTTTCTTTGCTTGTATTTATGGGTCTCCTAGGAAGGGGCCAGGAGAGAGTACACCCAGCTGGGGACAGTAAAGCCGACTGATGCCGATTTTCTGTGTGTTCTTTCCTCTGTACTTCCTTGTAGTCCTGCTGGCGAAACGAGCAGGGCTCCCAGTGTCCGGGACCCTATCCCTCCCACTTATGTACAACCCAGGCTGGCAGACCTTGGAGTCTCTGGGCTCTGAACATTAGACTATGATCATTAAACCTGGCTTGAGTCTCTGTTCCGGCATCGTCTGTGACTGGTTTGTTTATCTTTTCAGCCTGTGGGTGGGGCTTGCTCTACCTCAGAAGCGGGTGGCCTAAGTAAGGAGAGGATATTTAAATGCTATTGTAAAGTCAAGGGTAGAATCCACATCCAGGCATGAAAATAGACCAAGGTCAACAAATTCGGATAGTAAATACATTAGGCTTTGCAGGCCATATGCTCTCTGTTACAACTACGTGGTTGGGCCATTGTGACAGGATGGCAGCCATAGACAGCACATAAACTAAAGACCGTGGTTCTGTTCCAGTAAAACTTTATTTACAGACATTGAAATTTGAACTTCATATAATTTTAAGATGGCTTTTGAGTTTTTCCCCCACCATTTAAAAATGTTAAAGCTCTTATTAGCTCACAAACCATACAAAACCCAGCAATGGGCTGATTTTGGCCAGCAGACCATAGTTTCCCAGCCTGATAGGATTCTCAAAAGAAATGCCACTGACTAGCAGGAGAAAGTTTAGAAATTCCTTTCCCTGGGACTACAGCCTGTAAGCCTGTAGGTAACGAAGTCTTCCTAGATCCCTGGGGAGGAGGGCTGCCTCCCCACAGAATTCTCTTAAAAGTCTGGATGAAGCCTGCTAACCGTGCTTTGGAAAAACACTTGGACTGGATTAAAAGAATTGGTAGAAAGCAGCTGAGTTTCAGTATTTTGATTATTACCTGTATTTTTTCATGCCGTAAATGGTAACCAAGTTTGGCTGAAAGTATATTCATCCGAATGGGCAGGTTAATATTCATGGACACTTTAGCATGTCCTGGGCATTGCACAGAACAGAGAAATGCGGCCCCCAGGTTCTTGGTTCAGGCACCGTCTATCAGGAACTGGATTGGATTCTACTAAACTCTGGACTTGCAAATTCTTTGGGTATTCTCTGGGTACTTCTAGAAGGGGATTGTTGTGGTAGATTCCAAAAGAGGAGAGGAGATGGTATAAGGAAAAAAGAAATTAATATGAATCATTACCTAATTTTCTACATTGACAAAATCTTGACTAAAGGGCAGCCTTCTGCAGTCTGGATCGTTGTCTTGTTTTCTTCATGAGGAGCAACCAAAGCGGGGAGGGGATGGAGAGCCCTCGCTCCAGCCACATCAAGACAGATCAGCGCTGGCAGTCAGTGCAATGGCAGAGGTTGATGCCAGAGGGGCCCCATAGTCTATGTTTCAAAAGCATTTTTTCGTCTTTTCAAAGCAGCTTTTGCTGTGGCTGACGGCCCAGAAGAGGATGCTGGTAAGGAGAACAGGTCTGGGGAGACTGCTGGGAGCTCTCCCCTTTGTCATGGCCTGTGCCAAGCCCTGTCTCTGAGCCTGAGAAGTTTGGGTACTCCCTTCCATCTCCCAAAGCCATGGCTGCTCCTCGACTCCCCCCCCCCATCCCCAAAACAAGAAGTTCCCTAAGATTCTGGCCAAGACGCGCAATTTTGTCTGCCATGTCTTGTAGCGCTCAGCTCCCCTCAGGTGGCATTTCGGCAGAGTGGTGGAGGCCAGTAGGACAGTTGCCTTGTAAAACAGAAGTGGAAAGTTCAGTTGCACCGGCCAGCCTGGTCTCCTTTCCATCTGACCTCTCCCCTCCTTCCCTTCCGCAGTTGTGGTTCTTGTAACACTTACCGTGTCTCCCGGGAAGCCACCGTGAAGCTCCTCGGCTCGTCCGCACTGTAGAAAAGGCTCAGGCCTATGCAGCAGGAAGGCTGGCTTTTCTGGTCTGGCTACGGGCAAGTCTGTGCCGGACGCTTCCTCTCCTGGGGCGTGAGAGGAAGGCTAAAGTAGCTGCCTCGTCAAGCCCCTTCATCAGGCTTGTACGCTGTCAGGTAGGAAACACTGAGTGGCAAAGATACTTAGACCTGCCCTGAGGCCTTCCAGTCTGTATGAGTGTGGTTACTGTCCCACACATGGAGGGCGTGGAGCCCCGCTCTGAGAACCATCCCTCTGTGAGCCAGGACACGGAGCCCTGCAGGGAGCCTTCCAGGGCCCCTACAGCACTGGCGTGCATAAGGTGAGAGTCACTGGCCCCAAAGTTAGGGGTGTGTATATGCATGTGTGTGTGTGTATGTATGTGTGCAGATAGGCACAAGGGGTGGGAAGAATGTAGCCGGACAGAACTAGGTGCTTTTCCCTCACCTCCCACTGCTCCCTCACTTGGCTGTAGTCTGCTTTGGGTGGGGGCTAGCTGGAAAGGCCCAGCTCAGTCCCGGGCATCCTTAGAAAGCCCGGTGAGATAACTCACAACCTGCTTTAAAGAGAGGGGTGCTGGGGGCCCCTCATGTATACTCAGTGAGACAAAGAGTTGAATCCTCTGGTACCACAGAATGGCCTGAAGTAGCTATTTAATCTGCTTTTAGCAGAGGTTAAAAAAATCATCTGGGAAATCCTGACAATAGCGGGTAGATTAAAAACTGGGACTCCTATTCCCTGCACACTGGTGACGAGCCAGGCCTTCTGGGTGGATATCTAGCGGGGACGCTGTCTTACTGGGTGTAACTTGGGTCCGCTCTCAGCTTAGCCCAGCGCTGGGGACTGTCTACTTCAAACCACCCTCCAGGGCAGCGCCGGGGGCCCTGTCCTGCTGTATGTGCCCTGTATCTGCTCTGCGCCTGTGCCGGTGGGAACTGCCGAGGTTCTGCCCCCAGTGCCTGATGAGTGTCTCACTGCTGGATCCCAAGATAGGAAGAAACAATTAAGATAAAAAATTGAATACTGGAGCCTCCGCACTGCTGTGGTCCCTGCCTCTCTCTGTGCCTCTCTGTGCGCTCCCAGCAGACTGCTGGCAGTTCTCAAATGGAATAGAAAGTATCCTTCCCCTAATTTAACATTTAAATAGAACTGCTGTCATGGGGTGTGTGTGTGTGTGTTTTAATTCCAATAAAGTCCTCTGAGGAGGAGGGGACTGTGATCCTACTCCAAGAGCCTATAACAAGGAAAGAGAAAAAAACCAGCGAACAAGCTAGGGGCCATGTGTCATCTCTGCATCTCCAGAGCCTGGCATGAGGGCCTGAGGCAGGCCTTGCTCAGCCTGGGCTACAGGGGAAACCGGAGAGTCAGGGTTGTGTCCCTTACTATTATTGCTCCTGCCTCCCTGGCTTGTGTGCTCCACTTTTCCCTCAGCAGCGCAGTTAGGTAGGGGAGATTCCGACAGGCCAGCTCCAGGACCTTCAGGCTGGGTGAGGAGACAGCTGCACTGCTTTCTGGATTTACAGTCAGCCCCATGCTTTGAAACCAGCAGCACCGAGGGCTGGCTTTGCAGGGTCATAACCTTGGTGGCTTTCCTGACAGGAGTGGATGAGAGCTGACCTTGCATCTGGAAGGAGGAAGTGTGTGTGTGCACACTCGGTGTGCGCACTCTGGGGATGGCTGACAACACAAGCTGTCGGGGACTTGGGTCCTCTAAGCATCTTATCCATAACTATTTATTGCTTCCCTAAAAGAAGCATCAAACCCAGAGCCAGGCTGAGTGAGAGAGTCAAGGACAAGAACATACTATCACCTGTTTACATTTGTTTAATGCTTTGGACTTTTCAATGCCTGTTAACATGCATTCTCTCATCAAACCCTCACAACATCCCTGTGAGGTAGGTCAGGCAGTAAGCAATTTGCCCACAGCCACACCAGTGTTAGGAGCTGAGCAAATGTAGACCGCAGCTCTCCCGGCTCCCAGATCAGTGCACTTCTCACCGCATGATACACAGGCCCTTCTGTCCACCGGATACAGGAGCAGCGGAGCACTAACCGGAAGCCTCCCTGCTCCCTGAGGGATTGCTTCCCCTAAGAAGCAATCTGACCAGAAATGCTGAGATTGGGGCATCAGGACCAGGGGTGTCCTCTGGAAGTTATGACAGGTAACAGAAGGAAGGACAAGAGTACTGGAGGTTCAAGGTCAGCAATCGCCACGGCTGCTCTCAGGGGAGCCTACGCTGTGTTCCCCACCTCTTGATCTTTGTCAGGTGGAAGGGCCGTAGTAAGATACTTGGAGGAAGCTCAGGGCCCACTCCCAGAGGAAGGCAGCCTCAAGCCATGGCTAGGAAGTGAGACTCTGACCAGGCCCTCTCCATTCCATTACACTCTAGCTGCCCAGGAGGAGGGGGTGAGGGCTGGCTGGCTCAGCCTGCAAGTGCCTAGGGCCCTGGAGCTGAAAGGCCCCAGCACAGTGCGGCTAATGATTATTATTAACTCTGAACAGGCCTCGGCACAGCAGCCAGCTGGCTCAGGGAGGAGGTCTGGATCTCCCACGGTGAGGTTTGAAAAACAAGACCCAGAGCAGCCATGCCTGGGGGTGGAAGGGTGGAGACCAGGAGAAAGAAGGGACAGGACTCCGGTGTCAGGGACTGGGATGGGCAGTCTGTCCCGTGACATGGTAGGGAGAGGAGAAACAGGCTGGCAAGGATAGCGGCCTACCTCTGATGCAGCTGAACAGCCAAGAAGGTGAGGCTGGAAGAATTCCCCAGACACAGGGCTCCTGCCATTCAACACCAAGCCCAGCCCTGGTGGGGCTCCAGGGGAGTGGTTACAGGATAGATGGGGACTGGGTGGGGCGGCGGGCGTCTGAACCCAGACTGGTAATCCTGTTACCATTTGGATTTGGTTACAAAAGACATCTACATTTCTAATGTCCTCAAGGTTGAGTTTAAAATATCATATTTGGAATCAAGTCTTAGTGAGCCTGATATGCAAATTTGTGCAAATGACATGCTTTTTTTTTTTTTTTTTTTCTTTTTAATTTGAGCACCCTGGCTTTTTTTTTTTTTTTTAAAGGCAGTACAGGCTGACTACTAGCAGCTTTTCCTAGCCAGGGAACAAGGGCAAAAGGGCAGCTGTTCGCTGCTTCCCCTAAGAAGCAAGGCCTCATTGCCGAGGGGCCCAGCTAACATCCCAGATGGGGAGACACAGAGAGGTGGGAGGAACAGAGGGTGTAGGGAGGAGGAAAGACACAAGCAGGAGGCATATGTAGCAGGCAGCCACCGAGATCCCAGCTGGAGGAAGAGTGCCCTGGCACTGAGGTCTAATGGTTGTCCAGCTGCTGGCCCAGGATGTGAGGGCAGGTGGTGATGGAGATGCAGAGAAGGGGGGCGGGAAGTCCCCCCACAATCTGGCCAACCGGGAAGAAGGGCTCCTCCTGGTGACCTACTCCCTATACTGCAGTCAGGCTAAGCAGAAGACCACCTGTGCCCTCCTCTCAGCCCTGTGCCCTTGCCCTCCAGGCCTCCTGGTCAGAGAGGTGACAGCTGGGGCCCCTTCCTCCTGCAGAATATAAATGACTTCCCCCTTCCTCCGAGGGCTGGGAATAGACATCAGCTGGCACAGCCCACGCAAACTGCCGGCTGTCAGCCCGCCTGCCCGCCCGCCCACCAGCCCCCGCACCACCTGGGAGGAGGCAACACCTCAGGCAGGCTCAGGCTTTATGGCACTGCCTGCTTGGCTCGCAGAAGCGGGTGAACCTCACCCAGCCCTGTCACCCTGCTGTAGACAGGATGGGACTCCCAGCACTGGCTGTGATGGGGGGGTGGGGGGAAGGAGATGAAGTCCCTAATCCAAGTGACCCTAGGTAAGAATGCCCCAGGAACCATCTCCTCCACATTCAGTCCACATTGGGTAGTTTGAGAGAGAAGAGCAGGCAAGGAGACAGGTACAATCACCCTCTGAGCAACCCCCTTTAGATGCTCTGGGTCTGGAGAGCTCCTGGAGATGCTTTGACCCAGTGAGATCCCCTCAGAGGATGCTCGTGCCCTTGCAGTCCCAATTCCTGGGCTGTTAAATCGTACCAACCTCCCTGCTTCCGAGTTGCCCGGCCAGGGAGGTCTTACATCTTAGGAAGACCTGGGATGTCTAAATTATTGCCATCCAGGAACTCCTACCCTTCTCCTGGGACCTGGAGCTCCAGCCCCTATACCCAGGCCTCCCAGAGTGTCCCCTGAGCTGTCTCTGCTTGCCTCAACATCAGCTTTACTGGCTTGGCCGTCTTCAGTCCTGGCCATGATCTTAAGGTCCCATCTCCCCGACCAAGCCAGGTCACAGTTAACCAGCCTGGCATCCAGCCCTCACCCCTGGGAGCGGTCTGAGGAACTACCTTCAGTTTGGAATGAGGGGTCTCTGCAGGGAAGAGGGCCCAGCCCTTTCTTGCCAACTGGCACCAAACTCAGCCCCCTGCTAGACCACAGAGCTGGCAAGAGACCGCAACTGAGAAAAGCTTAGCTGAGAAGGGGAACCAGGGGGACTTCGTTTTCCCCAGATCAGAAAAGCCCTACCCCTCCCCCTTAGCTCTTATTTTGTTCTAAAAGTTTCAGAATACCGCCCCAAAGCTATGTGCTAAGGCGAGATGTGAGCCCTAGGCAGGGCAAACATGAGGTGCTCAGGACTACTTTCCACTGAGAACGCATGTCAGAGGAAGGTACAAACCCACGTCCTGCAGGCCCTCAAGCCTAGATTCGGAGGTGGGCTGGAGGAAGTTCTTAACTGAGCTGAGATGCCCAGCCAGGAGCCACAGGCTTGGTTACGCCAATGCCCTTCTGCTCCTTCAAAAGCTTTAAAGTGACTTCAGTGCCTTTACTGTCTTGGAGTTCAAGAGAGCCTCACACGGGACCCTTCTTTCCACAGTGCCTGACCTTCTGTGCCCTAGTCCAGGGGCCAAATCGGCACAGATTCCTGGAAGGCCACAAGGGCAGACCTGTCCCTTCAGAGGGATAAGAGAATAACAATTGTGTGAATCATATCCTGAGTCTGCTTAGCGGTCCAGCCACCGTTCTGAAGCGGGGAGAGTGTTCTGTGGCATCAACCTGCCAGACACTGAATATTAGGAGATTGTTTAGAAACTCACCCATGACACAGATATGGAAACTGAGGTCCTGAGACATGTGACTTGCCTACGGTTGCACATTAGAGCCTACAGGAACCATAACCCATGGGCTGTCTCCACACTGCTTTCTCAAACAGACCCAAAGAGCCATTGTGCTCATTCATAAGTTACCGTAACCCAACTCTCCATCCACACCACACCACACCACACCACCGCCACCCAACACTTCTGTCTCCCATCAAGAGTGGAGGCTTCAGGACCAAGCCCCCACCCCAATCACCTTCCACTTGCACCCAGTATATTTCCCCATTTTGGCCCCGTGGATCGTCATCAGCAATAGCAGTTTGCGTTTCTGCGGCCCCTGGCCCAGCTAAGAAGCACAAGAAGTGGATCCCTTGAAGGTCACCAGAGGAAACATTTAAGTCCCAGGTAAGTGTCTCACCTACGTTCAGAGTTCAGAGGAACTTACATTTCCATTTTCTTCTTTGGCAAGTAGGAGCTGGAGATTTGGTGCATGATCACCAGGGCCGGATAGAGGGGCAGTGCCAGGCACAGGTACCAGGCTGTACCTTTGATCTGGGCCTGGAACCACACTGAGTACATGCCTAGGAACACCGTTCCTGTAGCCATCAGGTAGACCACCAGTCCACAAGTCAAATGGTAGAGCTTGAGGCGAGCCACCCTTGAGACCCTGGCTGCTCGAGGACAGAGGAGGCAGAGCCCACACAGTGCCTGACCACTAGTGGCCAGCAGTGTCAGAGCCCCTACCCAGCTATGCCAGGACACCAGGTGGGGCAGCTCACTGCGGGTCCTGCTGGAGATGATGAAGCCCAGGCCCAGGGCTGCACAGAGGATGGCAAGGCTCTGTCCTGCCCAGTGAAGTCGTATCCGGGCCTTTCGGGAGCAGTAGAAGAACGGGGAGTGCTCAGGCGAGAAGAGCAGGATGGCCTCTGCCATACAGAGGCAGAACTGTGAACACAGGAGAGGGCCGGTGAGCCTCAGGCCAGCTTGGAGGCCTAAGAAAAAGGGGGTGCTCTCATACATCCAAACAGGGAGGACAAAGATGGGGGCTAAAGAACTCCCACCGGGACCTCCTGCATCACAGGCCAGCATTTCTGGGCACAATAGGGAATCAACACTTGAGGGGAAGTCTTATCACTCAGGCTGATATCCACGCCCCACCTCTTCCTCCTCCACAGGCAATGATTCCCACTTCTTGACCAATGTTAAGCAAATCTTTAGCAAATGTTAAACTTCTTCCCGGGGGTGCCTGGGTGGCTCAGTTAAGGGTCCGACTTCGGCTCAGCTCATGATCTTGTTCGAGTCCGGCATCTGGCTCTGTGCTGACAGCTCAGAGGCTGGAGCCTGCTTCCCATTCTCTGTCTCCCTCTCTCTCTGCCCCTCCCCCGCTCGTGGTGTCTCTCTCAAAAATAAACATTAAGAAAAAAATTCTTTCTGAATATTGAAGGGGCAGGGGAGTGGCGGGTGTGTGTGTGTGTGTGTGTGACTGGACAACACCCCTTCTACTTCCTCTTTTCAGACCCTACGGGAGAAAGATACATCTTCCATACTCTCCCAACCCCCTTCAACCACCTGGCACTAACTACAGCCCAGCCCTCTATGTCTCCCAATCAGAGGTTGCAGGGAAAGATGGAGCCCTCCCTCTTGCCCCCCACCTCTCTGAGCCTCAGAAAAGCTGCGCCTTCGGAAGGCTGGATGCTTCCCTAGGGGCATATTAGAACAAATCAGCTGCAGAAAATAAGCCCAAACTCACCGCCAAGGCCATGAATACAGGGTGCCAGGAGAAAAGACCTAAGAATCAAAGAGAACAGACTGACGGTTGGGCACCATTGTTTCTGCCCCTGTGGCTGGCTGGAGCCCAAATAATCCGGCTACAGGGGAAAGGTCACTGTGCTATCCCCAGCTCCAATCAGGAACTCCGTGCAAAGTGGAGCAGCCCTGGGGCCTTACGTCGACCAGCCAAGGGGACAAGTATACACCAATTTGGCCTGGGTTCCCCATTCGGCACCTCGCAGCTGTCAGCCCAGTCCTAGAACGGACCTTGGCTTTCTTTGCTTGTATTCTCTATGAGGGTCTCTGCTTTGGATGAACCGAGTTCAGTTCAGTGTCTGCCTCTCCACCCCAGCACCCAGGGCCGGATCCTTCCAGGACCCACCTCCCGGGCCGTCCCACCACGCCCTTAGTACCCCTCCAAAGTACGCCCGCCCCCCCCCCCCGACCGCGGGGGTCCCCACGCCAGGTCTCGGAGTGCTCCAGGCGCAGCTCCTCCAGCATCCCGGCTCCGCCCCCTTTCCTGGCCCCGCCTCGCCTCGCACACTCACTGGTTCCCGGCCGGGACAGCACAGTCAGAAAGATGGTGAAGCCCAAAGCTACCAGGTGCGCCAAGATCCCACTGCCTCTCCGCAGCCAGCGGGTCAGTCTCGGCTCCCTCGCTGGAGCGGGAACCAGACCTACCTCCAGTGGCTGCATGGCCCGGGCCGCGCACACTCACAGCTGCTAGAGCGCGTCTTCCGGGTGTGCGATCGCGGAGGCGGCCGCGACGGCGGGAGAGGCCCCTCCCCGGGCCGCCGCCGGCTGTACGGCGGACTCGCCCACAGCGCCCTCTGTGGGCTGGGGGGAAAGCGCGTCGGCCCCCTAGAGAGTCCCGGGGGCACAAGGGGACCCGACAGCAGGCTGCCAGCCTGGTTTCTTCGGTCAACCTCATTTGCACTTTTCTGTCCACAAGGACTTGCGCCTCAAGTAGCCTGTGGAAGTTACACTTATGGCAAGTGATTCCGCCCAAACTCCAATCATAAACTTCGGACACTGAACCAAGAGTGTGAAACCAGTGGTTTGAACAGTCTTCTAGAAACCCTGGATTTCTCCGCCTGCCTACACTCTCCTGCCAGCCCTTCTGTCTTGCTAAGGGAATAAGGGAGTCTTTTCTGCCTAAAAGCAAGGAGACGGAAAGGACAAGGCCAAACAATAGTGCCCTGTGCCTGGTGAGTTCAGGTTTGGGGACCAAAGGAGGGACACGCTCTAGTCTCCAGTGAGCTTAAGGGAAGAACTAGGGCACTCCCAGCCCTTCCCACCTCCACACCGCCTGCTCAGGCCCAGGGAGCCAGGTGATCCTGAGGGACCAGGTCCTCCCACATTCCTGCTGCCTCCCACACCAGAAGCTCTGTTAAGTGATCATACCTTTCCCTTTCCTGCCTCCAAAAAGGTGTGGTTCACCTTAAGGAGGCCTACCTGGGAGAGACCCTACCCCTTCCAGAAGGGCAAACCCACAGGCCATGGGCAGAGAGACCAAAACAGGCTGTCCCACAGAAATCACAGGCATCCTTAGAGCAGTTACCAACTCAGTTCGAGCTCCCCGAGTGGTTGGGAAAATAAGGCTGCGAAGTGAGAGGCGGGAAGGGCAGGAACAACTGAAGAGACTGAGGCAATAATTCAGAGCCAGGATGGAGGCTCAGGGTTGCTGGAAGACTGGAAAGGGGCCCTGGCTGACTCCCACAGACCCTCAGGGCAAAGACCTGTGAGTAGAGCCAGAGGTATGGCTCCCCACCCTGTCAGGTTTCCCTTCCCTGTGGGACTCGAGTCATCTCTGGGACAAAGACTGGCTAGGCTTGCTCACTCAAGGGCCATATGCCTCATCATCTTCTCTGGTGAGAGGACTGCCCCCGTGACACAGACCCCAGCCGTTTCCACACTGTTGAGAAGGACAAAAATATAAGAGCGTAAGAGACTTCTGCAGGCAAGAGATGGGAGCTGGAGTCTGGCTGCCTATCATCTCCGCCTCCCGGGGTGCGGATGGGGACAGCAAGGACGCTCATTTTATTACATCTTTTTCCTTCCTCTCCTATGCTTCTGTTTTTACATTTTCTTAACAGCAACAGAACAGGGAGACAGTCTTGAGGTATTTTAAAGAGTTTTTTTTTCTTAAAAAAAATAATATAAAGTTATAAAAAGCGGCAGCAGCCTGGGGCCCGGATCTGGAGGGGAGGAGGTGCTGGCGGCTCCATCGCAGCGGGCAGGCACTTTCTCGTTAATGGGCTTTAGACTGCAGAAGACAAGAGACAAGAGACACGGTCAGGCCGGGGCGGGGGGGGGGGGGGGGGGGGGGGTTGGCTAGCAGGCCTCCAACCCACTGAACTGTGTGGACCATTAGAGCTAAAGCTTGTTTTCCACCTGCTGGGATGGCAAGGGAGGCTGGGTGAGTGGGAAGATGAAGGCCAGCCCAGCAGGGACAGCCTGAGAACACCCATGCACACATGCACACACACGTGGGGCACGGCCCAACACCCGCTCCCGTGGGCACCGGAGGATTTGGTGTGCACCTGACCGCGCCTGAACCGGAAGGGCGTCACCTTTCCCCCGCCAGGAAGTCCCTCCTGGCTGAGACCGGGTAGCTAGCCCACAACAGACTACTCCAGGGCTGCATCAGCAGAGGCACATAAGCCTAGCTGCTGGCTTTATCAGAAACCCTGGGAAACTCACCCGGCCCCTGAAAACCTGGAAGTGGGCACATGCACAAGGTGGGCACGTGTGCATGTGTGGACCTTGGGGGGGTCCCTGCCCTTGGATGCCCCGATGCCCAGAGGCACAACCAATGAACTGGACCAGCCCACCCACCCTGCTGCCCCGCGTGTGGGGCCACCACTCAGCAACCCAGGCTCAACCCCACTGCCCAAACCTTTCCCATCAGAGTTCATGGAGTCCAAGTGCCTTTCCTCCAGGGGACAGGGGTAGCCCTAGTTCCTGGTGCGAGGGCCACAGCCAATTCAGAAAGTGGCCCTTTGATGAAAACAGAAGCGGCTGTGGGGGCAGGGGAGAGGCAGCATCTCCTTAGCTCAAGGGAGAGGGCTGGAGATGGAGGAAGACCCATCAAACAAAAGCTGGGTTACCTTTCGAAGAGCTGACCTACCTCCCCCTAGAGAAGGTGGCCCAGGAACTCTCTCAAATTCCTCTTTCATCCCTTCCCTACACATTTACTTAGCACCTTCTCTGTGTCAGGTTCCCACTGTGTATTCTACCCTGGTCCATCCTGACTTTTCCCTGCCCGTGCTCTTCAGGGAGCTGGGCTGGTACCTTCAGTGTAGAACACTTCTCCTCAAAGGCCATGGCTGGACCCGGCTTCTTGCGGCGCACAGAACAGGCCGCATCAGGAGGGGCACCAGCCTGGCAGTGCTTGGCCTTCACTGGCCGGCAGTAAGTGGCCAGGTTTTTCCGCTTCTTGGCTACCTCCTCCTCAGAGAGGCAGTTGGTGGGCAAGGCCTTGGCTGGGTGTCCAGCCGTGCCCCGGTTGTCCAGCTGAGAAGCCTTGACTGGTGTAGGGGGCTGATGAGGGGAGCCCCGGCAGTCCAGGGGCCCTGCCCGCTTCACTCTCGGCCCCACTGTCCCATTAAGCCCCATGCCCAGGGCTGTTTTCGTCTTGGCCGAGAGGCCCCGGCAGCCAGAGGGTTTGCCTTTTCCAGGGGGGTCCAGGATGCAGGTCCGTTTGAAAGTAGTGGGGCCTGGGGATAACTTTCGCTTCCGAGAAGGGGCCTCCACCTCAGCCCCGTCCTTGCCTTTGGACGACTTGCTGGCCTTCGAAGGCGGGAGTTTGCTGAAGGATGGGGACGGCGTGTTGGCGGGCAGTGGTGAGGTGATGGCCTGGCTGCCGCCTATGCACTCCGCCTGGCTGCAGGCAGCTGCCACGCTGGGGGAGCCTGCAGGGTAGCTGGGGACCAGGCTGTCCTTGGCGGGGGGCATGGAGGCTGGGCAGGTGGGTCTGAGGGGTGGGCCAGGGAGGCGGGGGCAGCTGCCCGTAGAGGACGGGCTCAGGGGAGCAGAGAGTGGGGAGCTGACAAGGTGGGGTGGAGGCTCAGCCGCCGGTGGGATCTTCCTGCAGCAGAAAGAGAGCTCACTGTGATGCCCAGCAAACAAGAGGCCGTCCCTACCAACACGCACCAGTCTCTGTGCCCCACCTAGAAATGGCCCACAGAGCCCTGGCCTTGCTGCCATCTGCTGGGAGACACTGGAACTGAGGGTTAGGAAGAAAGCACAGGGAAGGGCAGGAAAGAACTAGTGTACAGGCCCATTAAGAACCTCATTTCAAATTTCAGTTTGGACATCCCCTATCCCTAGTCACCCAAGAGGTACTGGAAGTGATGGCTGAGAGATTCGCTCCCAGACCACCCACCCGTGCCCTGTCTTAGCCCGGCTTCGGGCTGCCGAGTTTCCCCACCTCCTGTTCATTCCATCTGGGTCTTCCTGACAAACGGCCAAACCACATCCATAGGTATGTGAGAAGAGTCAGGGCTTCTGGAGCCCATGTATGTCTGGGGCTTGAGGTTAGGGAGGGAAGTTCTGGGCCAAAGAGACTCACTTCCACATGTGTGAGCTGAGGTGCCGTTCCAGCATGGAGCTCAGTGCTGAGCAGAACCGGTCCAGCCGGCGGCTAAACACGTAACATCCTGGACTCACCAGCCGACTCCCAAAGGTGCAGAACTAGAGGCAGAAGGAAGTGAAGGGGTTAGCTTCCCATGGTTAGCAGGGCCTGGGATGCAGGGAGGGCTCCTGTACAAGGGATCTGACCTCCTCCCCACGCTGTGGGTCAGGAGGGCTGGGCCACCCCCCCGCCCCAGGTCCCTGGCCCCAGGTCCTTACCGCCTGTGGCCGCGGGGGCCGGGTTGCATAATGGCAGTCAGGGGGGAGGTGGAGGTCGTCAGATGTCCCCTCCTCCTCACTCTCCTCGCTGGAGGCCTGGGCCCCACCCCGGGGCAGGGGAAAGGGGAACAGGCCTGGGTCCCCATCACCACCACAGGGGCCTTCATCATCCAACTCACTCTCAGAAGAGGCCCGGGACCTAGAAGGGCCAAAGGGGATGTGAGGGCCATGAGACGGAGACGGGAGTGGGTCAGGGTGGGGTGTCCCTGAACCGGCCAAGCTCAAAAAGCCAGGGCGGACACCCTGCTGGGCAGTCAGACAAAGAGGAAGGAGGACAGGAAGGGAGCTCACAGAGTAAGAGCCGGAAAGTTCAGGGGCCACAGCTCCCGGGGGATCCTCTCCCCAGCCCCTTCACTTCCCAGGCCCTGCCTCCTGGAGGTGGGGGGCGGGGGAAATCTGCTCCAGATTCGCCTCCTCCAGAAAATCTTCTGAGCTTAACTGCACCCAGCTCTGGTCAGCCCAGTCAATCCTCTCAACCCCCTTCTCGCATCACATATTCCTGTGAGCCTGTCTGCGAGCTGAGCCTGCTTCGCGTCTGCCCCTTGTGTTACAGGCAGAGATGCGTGTGTGTCTCCTTCGGCAAGGCAGGCTCTCCCCGGGCTCCAGCGCAGCCTCTGCACACGAAGGGGCCAGTGAATGAATACACAGTAGGACTGCCTCACCCAGGACCCTGACCCTTTTGGCTCCCCAGTTACAAGTTCTGGCCTGTTAGAAGCAGCTGGGAAAGTGTTTTGATCCCAGGCACTGGGACCGGCACGCTAGAGAGGCTGAGGTGCTACAGTCTGCTGGGTTAGAAGCCGGGAGCCCCCTACTTCCACACCACTGCCAGGGGCCCCAGGTATCCCCCCAACTCAGGGTGGAGTGCGACTCCCTGGGCCGATCTCCCAGGGTCCCTGATGGCTTCGGACCAAGTGTCCCCAGATGGGGGCCTGGATCCTAGACTCACCTGGGCAGCGCACAGTATGGGTAGGTCTGCTTGGCGCGAGCAGAGAAGGTGCTGCCAGGGGTGGCCACAGCCGCAACAGGGACTGAGGAGGGAGGCTCCTGGGAAGGGCGCTCGAGAGTGGGCTCCTTGCGCCCTGGGCTCTTCTCCTTGGGAGACTCCCCTTTGCGAGAGCTGGCCTTCAGTTCTGCCACTAGCACATCAAAGTCCTTGGCTCGGCCCTGGACCTCCCGGCGCTGGTGCACCGAGTGGATCTAGAATAGAGCAGGGAGAAGGGCAAAGAGGGGCTGTGAGCTGAGCAGGGGTAAGGGGCAGCAGGATGCTCTAGCCTGGGCAAGTGGAGAGAGAGGGTTTGGGGTATGGTTGTGGGTATCTTTGTGGGTCTTTGTTTCACTCCCCCAAAGGTCCAGAACCTTCCTTTGGAGTGGGGCAATCTGTGAGCCACCCCTACCTACCGTTCCCACGGTGGGCCCGCTGGGGGCAGCCTCCCCTTCCCCTGCGTCACTGGGGTTTTACCCCCACCCCTGAGCTGGGTCTTGGCTAACGCTATGGTTTCTCTCCCTGCCCAGGACCTGAATCTGTGCTGTCCTCCCTCACGGGCACAGTGGGACTGTCATTACCTTGCAGGTCAGCAGGCGCGTACAGATCTTTTTGGTCTCTGGGTTTATTACCCCACACTGCCTGTTGAGGTCGCACTCCTTCCCTGTGAGGAAAACAGTTCCTGTGAACCCCAAGGCCACTTCCCAAGGAAACGCCTGGGGAGAGCTGGGCCTGAGACACAAGAGCCTCTGGCCTTCAAGTCCGAGGCTGCAGCCTCCCAGAGAAAACTCCTCCCGGTGCCAGTAGCTCTGTGCTAGGCAAAAGAACCAGCCCCATCCCCATTCCCAGCCCAGGCACTCCCTATAACAATGCCAAGTTCAAAACAGGGCAACACATATCAAGAAACAAAAGCAGCCACAGGTATGTGGGATACCAGAGAAACCAGCGATGGGAGGGGTCTGGCACCCCGGATGTAGGTGAGAAAAGAGCTAAAGGTCAACAGCCCAGGGTGAGGAAGAATACCTTCACCTGCTTGGGCATAAGCTCCTTTAGCTTCGATCAGGAGACCTGGGCTGGAGAGAAGCTTCCTAGAAAGCAAGGAGTTCAAGCGTGTGTCCACATCAAGGGGTGTCCCAGGGGCTCCTGTACCCTGGCAACCAGTGGTGGCCAGGCCCACTGGTTCCTGACCCCTTTCCATCAGGTCCAAGGACAAAGCAGTCCAAAAGGGTCCCCACACTACCTTCCTGACCCCGGAGACCATGACTACTCACGGGCCATCTTCCGGTGGGTTTTGGGGGGCAGCCTGGCCCCACTAGGCTCCTTTTCAGGCGGGCTGCCTTCAGCCCGGTGACTGGGGCCCTCGCTGGGGGTCATCTCGATGCTCTCTCTCCCAGGAGGCTCTTTAGAAGGGGGTGCCATGGGGGTTTTTCCAGGGGAGTCCTTGGTGAGGCCACCAGGCTGGCTGAGGAAAGCAGAGGGCGGGGCCACTCTGATTCCGTGTCCATCGGGCTTCGGGAGACTGGACATCTTCTCCAGATTCACCACAGGCACGAAAAGGCTACACATGGAGAGAGGGTGTGGGCTGGGGGGCCAGGGGGCTGGGCCTGGGCCCTGGACTCTAGCCCAGAGCCATCTCCTTCCCAGCCCTGGAATTTGGGAATTTGGGTGGGCTCCAGCAGGGGTGCAGAACACGGGAAAAGGGGATTCCATATTGCTTGGAGCACATGGAAGGGAGCTGCAGGGAGAGCTGGCTGCCTCCTGCTGTGAGCAGTGCCCATGGCCTCAGAGCTGCCTCCGTTTGTGTTAACCCCTCCCTGGGCTAGGGTCAGGGTCAAGGCCGGTCTCAGGGAGTCTCCAGCCTCTCCTTACCAGAGGTTGTCTTTCTGTGTCTTGTCAGGAGGCTGGTGGCCACGGCTCCGGGACCCCTGGCCCTTCTCCCTGGAGGTTTTGGTGGAACCTGGGGCCCTACAAGCCGGGCCCTGCCCATTCACTACATGGCATTTCTGAGAGCTGGCAGGGGCTGGAGGTGGGGGTGGGGCCCGGGCGTAAAGCTTGCTCAGGGGCCCATGTCTTCTTTCTGCCACCAGGAGGTGAAGAGAGTAATTGAGGTGAGTGGTATCAACTGCTTCCTTCTCCAACCTCCTAGCCCTGCTCACAGACTCACATACAAACTCTGGGATTTCCCAAGCCTAGATTTTAAATTTGCCATCTCCCCACCTGAATCTGAGTCTTCGAGACTCAAAATTCTAGGACCCAGCTTTTTGAACCTTTTAGCTTTTCCCCTAATTCCGCTAGATGCTAGAATTTTGCTCAATCACCCTAACCCGCCACATGCCTCTGAAGCCGCCCCCAGGGCCTTCTGATCTCCAAGGCCTTCCTCCATTACCCAAGTGACCTCCCAACTGACCCTGACCTCAGAGTTCCGTGTTCCACCTTGCCCTGTCCCCTCTATCTCCTCCCTAGGGCTCCCCTCACCGCAGTGCTTCTGGAAAGCTTGAGGCTTCACCACTTGGCTGCAGTGGTTACACACAACCAAATAGAAGTCGTCATGGGCAGGGCAGTGCCCGAAGATGGACATGTCTGCAATGACAGAAGCCCTTATCACTGGGGCTGGGGATCCCAGGGTTTCCCTGTAAGATCAGATAGCACTCCCACCCCACCCCCACTCCCCCACCCCTGCTCAGAAGATACTTACCAAGCCCCCCACTCCCATCTGTCCCAGGCCCCAGCCCTAATGTGTGTCAATTCCCACCTTCTTTAATGAGGGTCATGGCATCCAACTTCTTTGTGTTTTTGTTACTCTCCTCCAACTCAGACCCTGGAGGAGAAACACAGCTCAGAAGGACCACCCCTACCCCAGAAGCCCCATCTCCTACCCAACCAGCACTGACAGCCAAGCAATAGGAAGCCCACCCTCCCTAACAAACTCTTGGTACTCAGGACCACTTGGAGAACGTTTCAGTGGGTCATTCTCAAGCACCCATTCTTCCTTTAACTGCTACCTCTGGAATGAGCTGATTCCATTAGGAGGGATCCTGCCACCTTGCCTATGGAAAGGACCTTCACTCCTTCACTCCTACCTTCACTCCAAGGTGCAATTCAGGGTTCCAATCGGACTAGTTGAGTGACTGTGGGTAAATATGATCCCCTTCTGGGCCTGTTTCCCCATTTAATGAGAAACAATCCTTAACATTTTACTATAGATCTCCAAGTCCTTTCTTGAGATTTCTCAGATGGGTCCTTTCTGCTACTCTGTGCCTTACCAGACGGATACTCTCCCAGGACCCCAACCCTATGAATGCAGTTTTGTTCCACTTGGGTTACCACGGCACTGACAAAGTTGCACCCAGCTTCTCAGGTCCAGCATGGACAGGATGGTCACAGAGCACAGAAACTGCTGTATCGAGGGTCCTATGGCATCTTCAAAGTCCCCTTGGTCAGCTATGCAAGCCACTCCCCTTTTTAGGAGGGCTTTGGGCAAGGGTTGCCCTTGTACCTCAGTTTCTGGGTTGATGACAAAAACATCTTAGCTGTGCAAAGCAGCTCTTTCCCCCATCCCCCTACCTTACTCCTCTTCCCTCCCCTCCTCTACGCCCCCTCCCTGTCCCTTGGAAAAAAAATCAATTCTGAGTCACCAAACCCATCTGATTCCATTTCCGGTTCTCAAAGCACCCAGACCCTGACAATGGCCCCATCCTTGCCCACCCAGCATGGGGCAGTCCTGGGGTGGCCTGGGTTTCCACTTAGATGTGTTTCTAACGCCTACTAATAGGTTTGCCCCTTTCTAGGATGAGAAGATCACTGACAGTCTTACATAATCTCCAGATATGAGGGGTAGTGGGTTAGGCATGCCAGAGACAAGGGGCAGCTCCCACTCTTAAGTCCGTTTAAATGCAGTGATGGGCAGAACGGAGCTGGGAGCTGGATGTCTCAGAGGAGAACAAGTGTCATCAGAGACCGCTCCATGTGGTCTCCTCCTCCACCTCTTCTCACTTGCAAACTTCTTCAGGGCTGTGATGCCTGCTGTCACCCCAAAGGCCACGAGGCCAGGTGCCCCCTGGGGCCCAGGAGACAAAGATCAGCAGAAGGGGCTGTCAGCCCGCTTACTAAAGGCACTCAGGGGCCTAGAGAAGGTGGGGGGTCAGGGGAGAGAGCCAAGAGGGAGGGCAAGAGGCCCGGGAAAGGACTGAGGGTCGGAGGCATAGAGGGATGGATGGACGAAAGGAGGGAGGAAGGGAGGATGGATTGATGGATGGACCGACGAACTAATGCGGAGGGGGCGGCGGGGTGGGGGGTCCAGTAACACCGCAACCGGCAGGCAAACGCCGAGGAGGAGCAGGAGGTGTGGGGCAGAAGGCGAAGGAACAAGGGGGATTGGGAGGGGGGCACAGAAGTGGGGTGCGTGGGAAACACGTGGAGAGGACTGTTGCGGACGGGGAAAGCCCTAGGCAGGTGCAGGAGGGGCGGAAGCTAGAGGACAGCAGGCGAAGAGAAAGATAAAAGCAAGCAGATGTGGGGGCAGGTACTGGGCACCGACAGAAGCAGAGGTGGGCAGGGTGGGCTGCGGGCGGTGAGCCGGCGCTAGGACCCGGAGGCGCGAAGGTGACGGAGCAGGCGGGCACTAGGACCCGGCGGGTCCTTTGTTTGGGGGGCCGGGGAGCCGGACGGCGGCTCCCGTCGGCGGCTCCCCTCTGCTGGCGGGGGCCCGGAGAGGGGGAGGGGAGACAGTGATGGGGTCCCCGGACTCTAGGGGAGCTTCACTCACCGTCGGCCGCGGGCAGGTCGGCCCGTTCCACCCACGAGCTCCAGCTCTGTCCCGCGAAGTCATCGAGACTCGGCACCCGCCGCTCCAGAGCGGCCATTGCTGCCGCCGCGCGTTCACGCACCGCCATCACCGCCGCGGACGCGCGCCCGCCCCGGCGCCTCCGCCGCGCGGCCCCCTCCCCCCAAGCCCCGCCGCGGGCACGCCTCCCCTCTCCCTCCCACCTTTCCAGCTCACTCTTTACGCAAGCGCAGCACAGGTTGCCTGCCCCTCACGCTCCCTCACGCATAGCCTTCTGGGAAATGTAGTCTTGGAGGGGTTGCTGTTGCCTACCGTGCTTGCAGCAAAAGCCCCTCCAAAATGCCCAAATACGGGGGGCAAAAAGACCAAAGCCCCAGGACCTCCTCTCCTAACCCTTGTGCAGACATTCTTTGTGCTACCATATCACTCTTCCAAGCTCACTGCATACACACCTTAGCCCCAAACCTCTCTGCCCAAGACGCCCCTCTAAGCCGTGTCTCCGCCAGCTGGCTGGCGCCCCTTCCCGGGCTGGCGGTCAAGAAGCGACTTCGCTCCCCAGTAGATCGAATAGGGTAGGTGCAGGGAGGTGGGAGCTGTGAATCAGAAGGGCAAGGGGAGGGAGTCTGTAGGATGTGCTGAAGGACACAAGGGTTGGAGTGGGGGGAGGGTCCTCGTCTCCCGTGTTGCGCTACATCTGTGGGAAACCCACGCTGCCCTGATGCAGGGCAGAGGGTTGGAGTGGCGTTGTCTGGGTTTGGGAGGATCTAGATGAGCTGATCAAGATCACCTGTCAGGATGACAGAAGGCTATCTCCGAGCCAGAGCCAGCCCCGGAACTGGGGTGGCCCAGAGGCTGCTGGTGTTTGCAGCATCTCTGCTGATCCTTCTCTTCTCCTGAGAACTGCGATCAATACCCTGTACCGCCTCTTCCCAAACCCTGGCTGGACCCCGACTCCATCCATCACTTTGGCTTCTTTTTCTAATGAATATTTTCTCTGCTGGAAGGGCTGCTACCAGAGCCTCGGCATAGGGAGATTTCTAATCAGATCTGTCATTTTCCTTGCTACGGCCTGGAAAATACCTTAATCATCCTCTTTCTTCTCAGCTGATAACATTTCTTCCCACCCTCACACAATCAAGAGACAAAAGCCTACCCCCCCTACCCAATCACATCAGAAAAGAGATACTAGTTCTCTTTTCCCTCTTCAACTCCACATAGCTCTCCCATAGTCATTTCTTCAGCTAAAGGGAAACCAAATTGGAGGCAAGTAAGTCAAGGTCTGTGACCTCAAGACCTCAGACTTGCTTCTCATTTTCACCCAGGGAAGGTTTAAGTACCACAAAGATAATCTCTGAGGGCAGAGATCCTTAACCTGAGGACCACAGATGATCCCTAGGGAACGTGGTGGAATTGAATGTAATTTCAGGCCCAAGAGTGTTTTTCTAGGGAATGTAAAGGTAGCAAGTCAGAAGGGAGATAGAGGTGCAAGTTTGTTCAGAAAGAACCTTTACAGTTAACAGGGCAAGGCATATGGTCCTCACCTCCTGACAGGAAGCTTGTCTGGGTCACAGATGGTAGGAGACCAAATGGAAACAGTATTGTGGAAACCACTTCTCTTGCCTTTTGAGTTTGCTCTAAATCTGCTAATGAGCCTCAGTTACTCTGGACTAACTGGTGCCACCAAAAGAGAAGACACAGACTCTATTGCTTGGAGTGCAGAGTGGAGAGGAATGATGTTTTGGTGGAAATACTGATATTTGTCCAAGAACTTAAAGTGACGGGAAGAAGAGGAAAAAAAAAATCTCTGGAAGGGTTCTAGTCTTGGCTCCTTCATGGCAAATGCTTTGAAGCACTGTTTATTCAAATGTGTAATAACAAGCACCAGAAAACAACATGCAACATTCTCCCCCCACCCCGATCTTCAATCCCAGAAGTAGGAGACCTATGACCATGATAGTGGAGAGAACTCAAGTTCAGAAAAGGTCCTGGGTGGGCACTCTGGCAGGGTCAGAGTTTAGGAGGGCAAAGGGCAAAGGCCTTGCCTGTCAGCCTCCTGCAGTCTGAAGAAACCAGACATGGTCTCCTACCTCAGGCCCTACTAGGCAAAGCAGTAGTGCCAGCCCTGATTGGAGGGGACAGGAGTACTATGAGGACAGCTCTGCCCTCAGCACTTGGCTTAGCCGAGCCCTTTGGAGGTCATGAGGTGAAGGAGCCTTTCCTCTCAGGTCGGTCATGGAAAGAGAGGCCATAGCCTAAATCAAGGCCCATCTGGATAAGAACAAGCCAGCCTCTTGAGGAAGAGAAAGAGTTCTCTGCTCTAGGGAGAGTTCTGGGCTAGGCGTCGTTGGCAGGAGTGAATACCCACTCCACCCTCCTTCCCCTAGCTCAAGGGCCAGTTGCTAACTTCGGCCCCTAAATGAGAACACTTTATCCATCACATTTCAAATAAATTATAAATACATACACAGAATCCAAACAAATCCAGTAGAAGCTGCTCACAGACCCTCACGGGGGCCAGCTTAAAGAAAAATGGTCATCTCTTTGTTCTCTGGAGCTGCTGGCAAAACTGTTCCCCCTTTTTCCTTGAGTACCCATGGGGACAGCTCAGGACAGAGGTTCAGACTTAAAAACACTCTCATCCCCATCTCCTCTCCTCTCTCCTCAAATCCCTCCCCCCAAATCTAAAAACAAAAATAAAACAAAAAACTTAATTATTTCACTGGAGGATTTTGGAGCATTTGAGGGTGTAAATCTCACACTTCCCCTGTCAAGTGGGGGAACACTGACCCAAAGAAATGACTGGCCCAAAATCAAAGGTCCTGTCTCTTGGGTACCAGGGTAATGTGCACATTACTGGAAATGGTGTTTAGGGAGGTGAGAAGGATGGAGGGGATGACTCAGTCCGGAGGAGAAATTGGCAAGGGGCACATTCACCTTTGGGATGATTAAGTGGGCTAACTGGCACTGGATCGGAAAATGGCTGGATTCTTCCTTCTTCATCCTTCTCTGAACAGCCCTATGGCCAGGGCAGACTAAAGTGCTTTGAACTGGGTAGGAGACAGATGGCCCTTTCCCAGTCAGCATTGACTCTTAGGCCCTGGGGTCCAGAGAAGGACTGAAGGAGGTGTCAGAAAGAGGAGACATATCAAAGACAAATATGGAACTGGGTCCCGAAGAGAAGAAGCACCAATAGCATTGGCCTACCCTGGGCTGGGGGTTTGGGTGGGGAGGGACAGAGCCTGGGAGAAACGAGGAAGCAGGGGAGGAACAGAGGGCAAACAGAGAGGGTACGTCCTTTTGTAAAAGTGAGATAGGGGAGTATGAAAGAGAGGCCAGAGAAGGAGTTGGGGGTTGGGGGGGAAATGAGAGAATGAGGAAGAAATGGGCCCATCCATCCATGTCCTGGGGCTCTGGGGCAACTTAGCCTCATGGTGATCCTCTGGGCCCTTCCAAAGCCCCTATATGGCCCCACAGGAATGAGAGGAAGGCCTGGACAGACATGGAAAAGGATCTTGAATGCCTCAGATCCAAGAGACTGGGGAAGGGAGATGGACACACGGTTGGAGGCAGAGAGGGCTAAAAGGGAGTTGCTCCTAGACCCCTCATCTAGTGCCCCATGTGTGAGACTAAGCCCAAGGAGGACCGGGAGGAAGGTCAGGGGTTTCTAAGGCAAGTATGAGCTTAGTGTTGGTGGAAAGTGCACCAGCCTGGTGGGGTGGGAGGGCTGAGGGAAGAGAAGAAACTGCTTCCCCAGCAAGTTTCCTGGCTTCAGTTTCTTGAAGTTGCAACCCAGTTGCAATATATCTGCTCCCCACTGAGTCCAGGCCTCATCAGGACCACCTACAGGGCTGTTTTCTAGGCTAGTTGGCCTCCGGGGTTCCCACATGGTAGGCTCTGTGGGCAAGTAGAGGCCAGAGGAAAAAGTGGGAAGCATACCGAGCTTGGGCTGAGTGGAGATCAGGGCAGGCACAAGGCTTAGATAACAGCCATTGAAGAGAGGTCACTAAACCACTGGTGGGCCCTTCGTGCAAAGGACCAGGAAGAAGGCTGCCAGCCAATTTCCCCTCCCCCCCACTTTTATTGAAGCTGACAGGTTGATAGAAGTGGCTGCTAGGAACCAGTCTCGGGACTCCGGTCTCCTGCCCCCAACCCTCTCCTGCAATGGGAGACTGCAAGTGTACGAGGAAGACCCCAAGTAAAATGCTGGGGTCCAGGCAGTAGACAAGAAGCACTGAGCTCCAGCCATCCGAGGCGCCAGGCAAGAGGAGGGATAGGAAGCCACTGGTAGGGCCGCCGGGGTTTCTGACAGCTGATGCCTGCCCATCCATCGACGATGTCTCAAAGCTCAAAGCCCAGATGATGGAGGAGGGGAGCTGGAGAAGGAAGAAGAGGGAGGTCCTGGAAGCTGGAGGTGGTTGAAGAGGTGCTGTCCTGTTCAGGAGTAGCCAGGTGGGAGCTGCTTACTGCTTCTCCACCGCTCCCTGCTCAGCTGCGCTCTCCTGGCTGGGGCCCTGGCCCTGGTCCTGGTCCTGGCCCTGCCCATGCCACGGGGTCTCCTTGAACACAAACCAACAGTTCCCGGCCCACAGGAAGAAGTTGATAAAGCCGAAGAGCTGCAAAGACATCAGGGAAGCTTGTGAGAATAATAAGGAGGGCATTGTGGGAACAGGGAAGAGGAGCTCCTGCAGGGGGGGTGGGGGTGGGTAGAGAGGAGGCATAGAGGGCTCAGAAGACTAAAATACAGAGAACTGGAGATAGAGGCAGGGTTCAATGCCGATACCCACTAAGGAGCTCTCTGGCGAAAATCTCTAACTGTCCACAGCATGCACCTGAGTTGTAGCTTGGTCGCTAGGAGAGTCTGGCCCCTGGAGAGAAGCATCATGCAAAGGAGAGCAAGGGGCAAGGAGGGGCTTTGGTGGCGCTTTCCAGAGCACTGTTCTGAGTGCCTTTCTCAAGGGTGGGTGTGGCCAGAGCTGTCCAAGGTGCTTCCTTCTTAGGACCAGGGACTCAGCCTGGACTATATTCAAATATTTATTCAAAAATACTTAAAAATCTATCAGCAGAAAGTATTGGGGTGGGGGAGGTGAGCTGATGTCTGCAATTAACTTCAAAATGCATTAAAAATCAGATGGTTTGATGGATGAAGAGAGGCGGGTAGATATGTGATAAAGCAAGTCTAGTAAAATGATAATGGTGCAGTTTAGGCAATGAGCGTGTGGGTGTTCATTGTAAAATTCTTCCAACTTCGCTCTATTTGTGAAAATTTTTACAATAAAATGTTGGGGGCTAAAACCGAACAGCAGAGTTCGAGCAAGGTCTAGGAGGCTCCCTGGTGTGCCAGGGACTAAACCCTTCTGTTACTGGGCCTTGGGGAATTCCAGGACAGTTTTAGGGCAGGGCTAAGGTGACAAGCGCATTTGAAAAGCTTGAGGCCTCAGCTATCTACCAACTGATATGGAAAGATTTCCACATTCTAATACCTGGGATGGCCAAACATGTACGTACCAGCCGGACCCACCCCTGCCCAAAGCCCCTTTCCAGTCTGGAGGCCCGAGTGACAGTGGGTGACAATCTCATTCCCTCTGAGTCTGCTCCCAGCTGTGAGCCCAGCCACAGCCTGTGCCCTCCTTTATATGTTTGCATGTGCATGCACAAGTGCGTGCATGTGCGCGCGTGCACACACACACACACACACACACACACACTGTAAAGGAGCAGGTGGAGTGGGAAGCAGTCACAAAGGGCATGCTTGAATGTGGGAAGAAGGGAAATGGGAAGACAGAGTACAGAAGGAGGAAAGAAAAGGAGGCTAAATGGCTCTTGGGTTCCCTCCAAACTAAAATATCTTCTCAGGGTCAGCCAGGGGCCAGCAGCCACCCTTAGGTGCTGGGGTCACTGGCTCCAGGTGCAGGGGATGCCAGCTGGAGAGTTACCCTCTCTGTTCATCCCAGAACCTGCTAGCTGGGACAGGCCTGGGCATCTGGGATAGCACTGCCTCCCCCAGTCCCCTTCAGTGGCCACAGGTCTTACCACAGAGATGTTGGCCAGTCCCATGGAGGGTGTGGCCCCAGCGCTGCACACTGCTTCCTCTCCATGGCACACAGACATGGCTGCGGTCAGGCTGGATGGCCGTGTGGCCCCCTTGATGTCCGTCAAGCCTTTGCCCCAGGCAGCTGCGGCTACCAGCCAGAAGAAAGTGAAGGAGACAGTCACACAGAAGTCCTGGGAGGAACAGAGGGACAAGAAATACACTCAGAAAGGCCCCTGTAATTACTTACTGCTTTTCCACTTGCCATAATGCACTGGGATCGTGGGGTCCCAGGACAGCCACCTCTTCCTATCCTACCCAACACCTCGAACCTCTGGGAGCCCAGATCATTTTAAAGAATTTGTTCACTGCCACCAAAGGAACCCTGCTACCCAGGGCCACCCCTCCTGATGCCCTCAGAACTATATCAAGGCACCTGCTGATCAATGTCACCCCCAAATCCAAGTGGCCTAAACTCCCCACTTTCCCTTTGAAGCTTTTCCTTGGGTCACCATTGCTCAGTTACAACTGGTGGAAGAGTGAGAGCAGACTGCAGGAGACAAATGGGGTCCCCTGAGGCACCCCTTCCACTTTGCATGCCTGGGATAGTGAGACAGTAAAGGGGGAATATATTAATGATAGCCAACACTTACTTATGGAAACTAACTATACCAGATATTTTACATGCATTTTCACTTCATCTCCCCCAAACACTATGAGATAGGTATTATTTTATCTCCATTTCATACTGAGGAAACTGAGGTTTATAGAGGATAAGTGACTGGCACACAGCCAGTAAGGGACCGCTCTGGAATTTGAACCCAGGCAGTCCAACTCCAGGGCCCGCTTCTTGATGCTATTATGCCTCCTGTGAGCACAGCAAGTGATGGGAAGTTGGTAGAGGCAGAGTCGTCGGAGCTGTGGGAACCACAGAACCCGAAGGGATCAACCACAGAGAGCTGGCAGGGGGGGACCCAAGAGGTTCCACATATGGGTGTCCTCCCCTCTCGCTCTGACATCAGTCTCGGGATGCACATCTCCCTAGTTTCTCCACCCCATCATCCCTCCTGGCCTCTGCTTACTCACCACCAGTGGAAAGCGCTTGTTCTCTGTGTAGAGGTTGTGGAAGCGCAGGTAGACGACTAGCGCAGCCATGGTATAGAAGAAGGAAAAGATGCCCAGGGTCACAAAGAACTCGGCGGGAGCAGAGAAATCCCCCATCAGATGCATGGTCTTGGAGGTGGAGTCATCATCACAGAGGGGCATCTCATACTGGACCCGGTTCAACCTGCAGGTGGCAGAGGATGCCATCCTGAGCTCAGGGCAATCCTCTCCCTGTGAAGGCAAAGGACTGTGCCTGCCCTGGGGGTAGCCCTGTGCTCATTCTCACCCTGGGACTCTTACAGAGCCCAGAAAGGGTGTGTGTGGGGGAGGAATGCTTCTGGAGGGAACCCTGCAGTCAAGGCAGGAACATCGCTGGAATTCTAGTCAAACTCTACCTCCCATTCAGCCACAACCCCACACTCGTCTACCTTGACTGGTCAAGATCATGCATTTCCAAGGACCTCCAGGGCCCTCAGGTCACTACCACAATAATCCATCTATTTCTTGTAGCCAAGCCACCAAGGAGATCTGTTTCATTTTGCCCCTGGGAAAGGGGCACACAGGCCCATAGTGGCCAGGTTACTTTGGACTTGTCCATTCTCAGGCCTTAATTAGCAACCCCACCCAATGAGACTATATGGGACAAAAATAAGGAGAGAAAAACAAATACCCTGTTATACACAAGAGATAGTTCATCGTTGGTACTAAAAATTTCTGAAAAGGAAAGCCCTATCCCCAATTCTCCTCTGAACAGTTGGGACTCCCCTCCCTAAGCTCCCAAGTAGCCAAGAAAGAGTATTCTTTTCTATCTCCTGGTCAAGGTGCATATCCTCATATGCTAGTGGTACCAGATGAGCACCCCACGTCAACTCTTTAGGATCTTAGTACTAAAACGTTCCCCAACCTTCAAGGCAGGGAGGAGGTTACTGAAGGTCAGAAAGACCTGCCCTGAGACTCCTATAAGCCTCCATCCCCAGCTGGATGGGTTTTTTCTGTAGGAACTATGTTATACCTGCTATTGGTTATTCATGGACTGGAACGTTATTATGACAATGATCTATCTGAGGTTCCCTGATATTTTTCTATGGTTAGTCTGAAATTCCTAAAGGGTGGGAAGCACCCAAGTCTTGTAGTTCTATTTGAACCTGGAGTGGCACTCAACAAAAGGTCTGTATAAGATTCTGGAGAAGGAAGAGACCAAGCAGGTCCTGCCAAACCAGTGAGAAAGGCTGTGTGCAGTCAGAATCAATTCCCGCTCACCTGAAGGGATAGCCGAACAAAACAATGATGGAGCTCACATCCTTGGCTTCGTTGTTGCAGCGAACTGTTGCTCCTGTCTCCCCGCTGTAGGAGCCGCAGGACCCGAAGGCGAAAATAGCAAAGAGCTGAGGGAAAGGGAAGCCTCTTTGAGAGTCAGAACATATTATCTCATCAGAACCATCTTCTGACTCTTAGCAGGTGCAGATATGGTGGAGGGAGCCAGGATATCCTTTAATCAACTCCCTCCTGGATAGAGACCTATGACTTCCATTGGTCTTCCAGCCTCAGGATGCTGTGTTCACTGCACCTGAGTCCTGGACCAAATAGTCAAATGAATGAGGTTGACTTTGAGTAGTGTCTGGGAGGAAGATAGAGAGAAAGAAGAAATGGATAGTTTCCACATCTCTCCACTGGATGGATATGACAGTGGAGAACATAGGTAGCCTCCTTAACATGATGAGCAACGCAAAGCAATTTAGGCTTTTGGAAAAGTCTAGCATAAAGCTGGACTTGAATTTCCTCCCCAAGGCAGAGGCACCCTAGAAATAGATTCCTCTGTGCTAACTGAGATCAGGCATGCTTTGGAATTCTTTTCATTTCTCCTTTGAAGCTGTCATTGAATCTTGTCGTTACCTTGTTGCTAACTTCCAGTGGCTTCCTGCCTCACTGGAGGTATAGCTAGAAGCAGCATCTTCCACCAAGCCTTCAGAGGGGCCAAGCAAGGAAGTGCTATGCTCCTTTTCCCCTAAAGGTACTTTTCCTTGCAGCAACAATGCTGGCTGTGTCCACGCTGGCAGTCCTGGCCCAAGCCCAGAGCAAAGTACCTTCCACTTGCCTTATCAGCCCCTACTATTTCCCCAGTGGTGTTTCCCTTTGTAATCTGTTGATTGCTCAGTGTTCAAAACCAGAAGCATTTCAGGTCACTTGAATTGTTTTCCTCTCCACCTTTCATCACATTTTACTAAACCTCCTATCTTGAGTGAACTGAAATTTCCTCAACCCATGGTTTTCTAATTTCTTTCTGGGGAAACACACTAGTTAGAAAAGGAGGTGAGAAACTGGAATCTCTTAACCTCCCGCATCATCTGTTCAGGCCCCGTTTCCTGTGCGCTTAACCTTATACGGGCTTGTACATGATGTGATCATTCTTATTAAGCACAGAGCTTATTCTGTTAACGATCATTTTCTGTATGTTTCTCCGTGTCTTGCTGTCTTGGACATTAAGCACCTAGAAGACGGCTCATCTACATCCCAGGCTTGCACCCAGAGTTTAGAATAGAGTTGTGTGCACGTGACTTTGCTAAAGCTTGATAGTGTTGTGGAGTTTTGAAAAGAGATCTGGATTAGGAGTTTGGAAATCTGGGTTCTAGTCTTGGCCCTGTCACTGATGAGCTGGGTGACCTCTAATAAATCACTCTGCTCTCTGAGTCTCAGTTTTCCCATCTGTAAAATGAGGGGTTTGGAGCAGGCAATCGAGAGGCCTTTCTCCCACTGGATGAGGGTAATGCTATCAGTGTGCCCTTGGCCGGGCTTGTCAGCAGCTGTGCTCTGCCTCTGGGCAGTGTCCAGTGCCACTGCCCCGCCTTGTATTGCCTGCCCTGGCAGATCTCCTTCACGCTGGAGCTATTGACTCCTCTCTCTAAAGGTCATAATGAGCACCTCTCTGTTTCCAGGAGGTTTAATTCAGACAACTGAGAATTGTCTCCCTTTTAAAAAACATCCAGGAAAGGAGATAGTATAACTCTCTCCAATGCCTGAATAGCCTCCTCATCTGGCTTAATTTACAGAGACTGCAGTAGAGCCCTGTTTGCTCATCTTGACAGAGCTGAAGAGAAGTTGCCCAAAGCATCAGCATCATTACCCTTTATATACTCCAAGCCTCCTCACTGGCATAACAATGACGCTTCTTTAGCTCTTCCTCGTAGGAATTCTCTAATTTTTGTCAGCTCTATGAACCTCTTACAAGTAGCTTCTGGTGCTCAGAACTGGACACACAATTTAGAGTATCACATTCTAGGAAGGGCAGCATAATTAGATATATTTTTACTGAATAAAGTCCCCTAAGAAAATAGATATTCCTAAATTGGGGCACTTGATGGTGAGTTATGGAGCCTTCTCTTCACTAGCACTTCCTTGACAGGCACGCCTGATTATCTACAGAAAGACGACACTTACTGAGTACCTACTGTGTACCGGCACTGTTCTAAGCACTATCATTTAGTAGTGAACAAAAGAGAAAAATCTCTGTCTTCATGGAGCCTGTACTCTAGAGCTGCTCTATCCATACTGGTAGCCACAAGCCAAGTATGGCTATTTACATTCAAATTCATTAAAATTGAAAGTAATTAAAAATTCACAGTGGCTCAGTTACATTTAGACACATTTCAAGTGCCACATTTCAACCACACGTGACTAGCATGTACCATATTGGACAACGCAGATAATAGAACTTTTCCATCATTGGCCAAAGTTCTGCTATGACTAGATGATACGTCAGAACCTTGAGGTTCTGAAAATCCTGAATCCTGAAACCTATGTCAGAAACTTGAGGTTCTGAAAATCTTGATTCCTGCTCAGAGAGTGGAATATACCATGAATAACTTTAGTACTAGCTATATCCTCTTCTATTCTGATTCTTTGAAAGTCAGGAATCCCTAAACGCCTTACATGGCTCTTTATCAGAGTGCATAATTATATCTGAACATCACACAGTCACGTGAGGCCAATAGCATAAAGTTTGTTATGTAAGTGGACAATGGGAAAAATCTGAGGGGAACCTCATAGGTTCACAGGACAGCAGAGCAAAAAAAGATTTCAGAGATTATCAAGCCCAATGGTCTCATTTCACAGAGCTAGAAATTAAAGTCCCAAAAGATTACTTGACTTTCCCAAGGTCACATTTAGCCATTGTGTGGACCAGCCTTAGAATTCACATCTCTTGATTCTCTGTCCAGTGCTCTCTCTACGTAATCAACACACCGTCATTATGCATTATTGTGCCAAGTGCTGGGACACAAAGGTAAATAAGACCCAGTACCTTCTTGTAAGAGTTTACGTCCAGGAAAAAAAGTGCCCTGCTCAAACAAATAAACAAATAACATTCTGCATCACAAAGTTATTAAGGCTAAAGAAAGATCTCTCCTTTGTTCAGGGAGGATGGTAAGGAGGCAGGGAGTAGCTCTGCACCTGGCATACTAGAGCAGAGAAAGACACCCTGTCCCAGCCCCCTCCACCTTTATGTACCAGATTTACTTTCTTCCCTAAATGTGCCAGGTGACTGAGCCACTAGGAAAAGCAGGAAAGAACTGAAACCATCCGTGTCACCAAGCGTAAGGGTTTCTGAGTTGAGCAAACTGCTCAAAAAGAACAGAAGCCAACGAGAGATAGAGTCCCTGAGACAGGGAAGGGGTGGATCTCTTAAGTTCTGGTGCCAACCTGCCACCTTCTTCCTCTTGGACCTGTACTGCTAGGGGCAGTGATGGTTATATATTGCTCTCCACACCCGCCTCCTCCTGCCTCTGTATCTCTTTGGGAAAGATGTCAAAATAACCTTGCCAGTTTGGTGCTGACTTGCTTGACAGTGATGATCCTTTGTCAGTCTTAGGGAGACAACCATCCCTAGTTAGTGGAGAGCAAAAGGAAAACAAGATCTCCCCTCCAATATTACCCCCACAGTCATCTTATTGGTTTGATGGACTCTAATGGTATTCTTTGGCATTCCCCACGCCAACTGAAATAGCTTATTTTCATTTTAAGACCCCAGAACCAAGTAAGTGGCTTTGGCACCTCAAATTATTGATCAGGCGTATAGTTAATAATAATATGACTTATTATGGGAATAGTGACTGAGTAATCCAGGAGATTCTTTTGCACCTTACCCTCAAAGTTAGGATCTGGCAGTGATATTTGAATAATCTAACCAAAGGGTGAGTCTAGCTGAGAGTATGCATAAAGGGGAAATTTGGGGGAAAGGAGAGGTTTGGGAACAGGAGGAAAGGGAACCGACACTTGCTGAATATCTCCTAGACTGGGCTGAATGCCTGGATGCTTTACAGAAATTATCTCCCATAATCCTCCCATGAGGATTAGATTTTACCCTCATTTACAGATAAGAAACCGAGGCCCACAAAGATTTTGTTACTTACCCGAGGTACCTCAGATTCTATGGCTAGAAAGCAGAAGAGACTCCATTTAAACCAAAGCCCATTGACCTAAAAATCTGCCTTTTTCCTTTTTTAAGAAAACCAGTACTTTAATAATTGGTCGATACCCATGTTATTTTGCTAGCTTTGTGTAGACTTAGCGAGACTCCAGAACTGGAATTGAGGTGAGATTAATTTCTGAATTGAAAAAAAAAAAATACTCTAAGCCAACCTCCTGACTAAAAAAAGACTAACATTGCTTTCTTACTACCAGGATTCCAGCAAAATTGCTTTTTGATAACAATGACAAGTTTTCAAGTATCATTACAATAAACACAAGATCTGTGTTTTCTTTTTCTTTCTTTTCTTTCTTTTTTTTTTTTTTTTTTCCTTTTCCAGTTAGGGGCATTTGATCCCCCTCAAGCAGGAAATGAGTGAAAATCCCAAATGACATTTTCACTGTCATTTCTGGCGCTGGTTCCTGTGTACTTTTATATTAGCTCATCCTACAGAGACTCAGAGCAAGTGAAACTCATGCTCTGAATTCAGGCTGCTAGGACGGCAGTAAAGCAAATCATGTCTCCCTTTGATGCTGCCCTTCGAATGAAAGCTGAGTTCAGAGTCTAGCTCTGGGCCCCTGGATTTAGCACAATGAGAGAAAGGCATCACGCCCCTCTAAGAACTTGAAGATCATAAAAGTCAAATGGTTCTTAACTCTTAGGGATCAGTGCTGATCCTGGGAGGAGACTGGATCATTTTTCTAGGCATCGTTTTGTGCAACCTTTACAGAAATGTGGGTACTGGGGGAGGAGGGCACTGAGAAAAGGATAGAAGGATTGAAGAGGGAAGCTTTTCAGAATCCCCCCATGAAGGATGATTCCATGGTCTAATAACCTCATTGTTTCACTCATCCCTTGACAGTCTTTCTCAAATTTCCCTTAGATCCATTTATCTAGTTTAATGACAAAATTGTACCCTTACATTTCAGGTTCTGCTCCTCATAATGGCTCCCTAGTTCTGGATGACAGTCACATGAAGCCTAAATAACATTTTTATATGGCCACCACTGGTACTCAAGTGGTGGGTCAGAACAGGGAAGTGGGGGGAGGTGAAAGAGCTCAGTCAGCAGTCCATCCAACTGGTCTTGAGGCGGTAGGGAGAGTGGAAAGTCCCCATCGGATCCCAGAGTTTGCAGTTGGGAGCTCCTTGCCTGGCCTGTAGCCCCAGTCAAGGTCTCAGATATCCAAAGATAACCCCAAATGCACTATTGCCCCTGAATTCCAGATCTGGTGATTCTCATCCAAACGATGATTCAGGACTCAGGGACATAGTGCTAACTCCTGTCTCCAGTGAGTTAAAAGCCCTTTAGAACTCAACCCTCCTCAATATTAACAGTAACTTATTCCCTAGCTCAATTCTGTGCTGAAAGCACATTAATTAAGTTATTCACACATCATTTGGTGTGTGGATTGCCTAACTTAAATCTCTTTGGCTATAGTGCACTAAATGCTCCCAACAAATGTTCATTATTTGAAAGAATGACTGTACCTGTCCACACTCCTAACTTATTCTCGGGAGGCTTTGGGCACTTGTAAGGACAGAGAACATACCAATATCTCAAAGTACCAGTGAGGCAAGGAGATGGTATTTCCCCTACACAGTTACAGAGGAAATTGAGGCCATGGGCAAGTGATTTCTTCAAGGTCACAGGGTGAGTCTAATGAAGGACAATGTTCTAGCATACCAACCCATTTAAAGCAGAAGGGGACCCTAGGGATGGTGTGATCAAAATTTAACTAATGTTGAAAACTGAGGTCCAAAGAAGTGACTTGCCCGAGGTCACATAGCTGGAAGAGGCAGGACCATGTCTGAAATTCAGAGTCCTAGCTTCTTTCCAGCTCAGTGTTTTATCTTATTCTACAAGCCACATTTTGGCCACAGTGTGATTTTTATTGTCTCGATATGTTTTCTTTCATTTAACTGAAGAGCCATAGGCTTCACTCACTCACTCACTCACTCACTCACTCACTCACTCACTCACTCTCTTAGTTACAGGAACCCAGATTACTCTAGTGACCTCAACAGGACCACGGCCATCCAGCCAGGACCCTGTCTCCGGAGTCCACCTTCAAGATCAGTCAGGTCCTGGTGGGTTTGGTGGCCGGATGGTTTCCCTTGCCAGCCTCCTTCCCTCTTCTGCCCTCCGTGGATTTCCTCCTCCTCCTTGTCCTCCTCCCCCCTCCTGCCACCGAAGAGTGGTATGTGCAGGATCAGAGTTCTGGAAAGGTTACACCCGGGTCCTCTCGCCCGGGTGAAATGTGAGCACCCTGGGCAAGGGCTCCTTGCACATAGAAGGACCGAATCCCGGACTCCCGCATGCCTTGCTCCTCACCCTCCTGCCACCAAGTGCTGGAGAAGCAGCCCCAGCCGCCCCTCCCCCGCCCACCTGTCGCCGCCCCCCACCCTTCCGCCAGGGCCGGTCGCAGCACCTCCCCGCCCCCCACTCCGGCCACATTGCTTCGGGTCAGCGTCACAGCTCAGGCTCCCGAAATAGCCCGCGGCTGAAGCATCGACTCACCCACTGGAGAACTTTGATGAAGCCCAGCGGCTCCTCCAGCCGCCTCCAGCGCAACCCCACAAGCAGGCGGTCTACCTGCGGAGACGAGGCCGGCGAGGGGGTCAGGGCGGTGGGGGAATCCATGAAAGCACTGGTCTTCCTCCCACTCCCACTCCGGGAGAGGGGCGGAATAAGGGTCCGGCCCAACCCCCAAGTGGCGAAGGGGTGGTAAGACACAGCCTCAGGGGCGCGCGGGGAGTACCTGCTGGCGCGGTGACTTGTCCGCCGCGCGACTCGAGCCCTCCGTCGAAGACATGCTGGCGCAGCCGGGCCGGGGCGCAGCGAGGGGGCTCGGCTCCCTGGCCGGGAGGCTGTGGGCACCGCGGTCGCGCTGGGGGCTGCTGGCCGTCGGCTGGGACAGCGAGCGGTGCGGGAGCGCGGCCGGCCGGCGGCGGCCCGGGCTCCAGGCTGGCGGGGCGGGTCGCGGGGGCGCTGCAGGTAGCGCTCGCGGAGGCCGGGACCGCTGCTCAGCCCCTCCGGCTGCAGAAAGCCCTCGAGTCCGATTCAAACTTCTGTCAAACTCGGGAGCGCACTTGGCAGCCTAGTCACGTGGCGTGCGCTCGCGAACCCTCCTCCCGCCCCCTTTGCCCCCCGTATGCCCTTAGGGTGCCTTAAAGGGACCTGTGGCCTCTGCGGGCAGTTTGGCCGCGAGGGGGCTCAAGTTCTGCCTCCAGCGCCAGTCCCAAGCCGTACGCGACAGCCGCTCCAATTCATGGCCAAAGTCGGAACTAGCCTGGCGCCCTGGGACGCACCGGTTCCTATTTTATCATTCCCTATTTGCCTGGATTTGGAGCCGCTCTGCGCCGTTTTTCTCCTCTTCCACACCACAATACCCAGAACCTACACGATTTTCATCAAGCATCAGTGTTGAAATAAAATTCTAAACCTTAAGGTTAACAAACTGCTTGCTTTCAAAATCTCCAAGAGCCACTTACAGAGGGAATGGGCAACAGAATAGAAATTGCTCTTTTCATTCGGTCTGGTTACGTGATAGCTTATTTTTTTTTAACAAAAGGTATTCATATGTTAATGACTTAAAATTATTTATCATTAAAAAGTATAAACTCAATCGCCTTTAAAATGGATATCACTATTTAAATGAGAATGAAAATATGGGGCCCCTGGGTGGCTCAGTGGGTTGAGCGTCTGTCTTCGGCTCAGGTCATGATGATCTCACGGTTCCTGGGTTCGAGGCCATGATGATCTCACGGTTCCTGGGTTCGAGGCCCGCGTCGTGGGGTCGAGGCCCGCATTGTGGGATTGAGCCCCGCGTCGGGCGCTGTGCTGACAGCTCAGAGCCTGGAGCCTCTTTCAGATTCTGTGTCTCCGTCTCTATCTGATCCTGCCCTGCTCATGCTGTCTCTCTCAGAAATAAATAAAACATTAAAAATAATTTTTTTTTAAATGAGAGTGAAAATAGTCTTTGAGGAATAGGGAGCTTAGAAAATAACTTGCATTGAAAAGTTGACATTGTTGCATTATAGTTGACCTCAAATCAGTCCCTAATTTTCCAAAAGTGTTCGTCAGGAGCCTCCAGGGAGCAATCATGAATATTACACATTCGGTTTACTGGATTGTAAGTGTAAGTTGTGAAAGGTTAAGTGATTTCTCCAAGGTCACTGAGTGAGCAACGGGGCAGCAGTCTGGAGGAAAGAACCGGCCTGTGCTTCTGAAGAATTGACTTGTAAATACGTACCCCCTTGTCACAAAGTCATTATTGGAATTCTCTTCTGGTACTTCAGAAAGAACAAACATTTATCTATTATTAATACAATTCATTCCCTCATTGAGCAAGTGCCTTCCTGAAGTTGGGGTCGGAGGGAGTGGCTGTACTTGAAAGAAACTTCTCCAGCATATTTCCATTGCAAATCTAGACGAAATAAGAAACAACTGAGTCCTCAGTTCAATTTTTAACAAATTGGTCTGCAGTTTAAAGTTCCTTTACTATAGAATAGGAATAATGGTGTCTGCCCTACTTACTGCATAAGGTCATTATGAGGATTAAGTAGTGTGAGGTGTGTAAATGCCCACACTACATAAATATGAAATAATATTACCAATGGTCTACAACAATATGCATACAAAATATAACACAATCAGAAGAGAATTCAGAATAATACAGCAAAAATCCCACACATCTACGAACCAACCTTATTAAATTTTAACACTTCTGGTTTGTCTCAAATCCATTCTTGAGGGGCGGCTGGGTGGTTCAGTCAGCTCAGGTCATGCATGGTCTCATGGTTCATGAGTTTGAACCCCATATCTGAGCTGCAGTCAGCACAGAGTCTACTTCACATCCTCTGTACACCCCCCCAGCCCCTCCTCTTGTGCACTCTCTCTCAAAAAAATCCATTCTTTAACAAAATAAAAATTGCATATAAAACAAAGCCCTGTGCATACTGTGATATCATTCCCTCCCTCTCTTCTTCCTCCCCAGAAGTAACCACTATCCTACCCTGAATTTGTTTATTATTAGCTTCACACATATTTTAATACTTTTACTGTATAACGACATATATCTATAAACAGTACATTAAAATATACCAGACTTACTATTGTTTCTCACATGATTTTAAACTTTATCTAAATACTGTCTTTTAAGTAACCTTTAACTCTTTTTTGTTGCTGTTTTTTACTTAACGGTGGGTTCGTGAGAGTCATCCAACCTGAGGCATGTACCTTTAGTCCCTTCATTTTAACCACAGAATTCCACAACATACATATACCACAGTGTATTATTCTCATATTGATGGACATTTGGGTTATTTCTAAATATTTACTCTTCCAAACAGTGTTGCGTTGAATGTACACAGAGCACTGAATTTCCACCTTTTTTTTTTCTCTCTCTCTCTCTTAAACACAAGCCCTGGTAAGAGACAAATTTTTATGACATGGCCATTATATAAATTGAAGCAAAAATTTCATAAAACATTCTCATTATTTTCTATTCCATTTCATTAAAAAATAATCTGGCCATCCAGAAGCTAATGTAGGTTTTATGAGGCCTCAAATTTATACAATTTGGGGGCCCCCTTTAGCAAAAGAACACAAAATTAGTAACCAGGCCTTGGAAGAGGCTTTGCAAGTAAGGAAGCCTGAAGCTTAAATATCATTAGTTTCAGGGTAAATACCCCTCTGAGGAGACATACTAGATTGATTTAATGATTCACTGATAATGGGTCTCTACTAACAGTTTAATAAATACTGCTCCGTATCTAATAGTGAGCCAGCTAGGTCATACGATGTGAACATTTCAACTTTGAGTTTTGATAAATGTATATACCCATGTAATCACCACCACAATCAAGATAAAGAATACTTCCATCATTCCAAAGATCTCCTTCTTGCTTTTTTGTAGTCGGTCCCAGGCAACTACTGATCTGTGTTCTGTCATTGTAATTCAGTTTTGCTTTTTTCTGGAATTGCAAATAAATGGAATTATGCAGGATGTGCTCTTTTGTGCCTGGCTTTTTTTTTTCACTCTGCATAGTTTTTGAGATTCATCTATATTGTTGTGCTTATCAGTAGATTGCTCCTTTTTGTGCTGAATAGTATCCCATCCATATTATGAAATATGATCCATTGCAGTTTATCTATTCAATTCAAAGTACATTTGAGTTGTTGCTTTTTTCCCCTTTTTTTTCTTTTTTTGCTATTTTGAGCAGACCTGATATGAACATTCTTGTACAGGTTTTTTAGTGAATATAAGTATTCAGTGAATATAAGTATTTATTTCTAGGGTAAATACCCAAAAGTGAGAGTTCTAGGTCATGTGTAAATAAATGTGCTTAAGTTTATATAAAACTATCAAACTGTTTCGAGAGTGCCTGTACCATTTTGCTTTCCCACCAACAATGTATTCGAATTGCTTTGCATCTTCTCCAGCATTTGGGGTTTTTTTTTTTTTTTAGCCATTCTGATAGGTAAATGGTGGCATCTCTTTGTGGTTTTAATACGCATTTCCCCCCTGGCTAATAAGGTAGAACATCTTTTAATGTGCTTATTAGCTATATGTGTATCTTCACTGAAGTGTCTGTTAAATTCTTTTGCCCGTTTTTAAATTGGGTTGTTTCCTTTTTACAAATGAATTTTGAGAATTTTTATATATTCTGAATACAAGTCTTTTGTTGGATATGAAATTGGCAAATATTTTCTCCCAGTCTGTAGTTTGTCTTTTCATTCTTCTTTTACAGAGCAAAGTTTTGGTAAGTCTATTTTACTATTTTTTAAATGGATCATGCTTTTGACATCATGTTTAATAACTCTTTGCCTAACCTCAAGTCACAAATATATTATCCTGTTTTTATTCTAAACGTTTTAATAGTTTTATGCTTTGCATTGAGATTTTTTAAAAGTTATTCTTTGTGTAAGGCTTGGGATTTGGGTTAGGGTTATTATTATTATTACTATTTGGCATGTAGATATTCTATTGTTCTAACAATTGTTTTTGAAAACATCATTCTTTCTCCATTTAATTGATTTTGCACTTCTTTAAAAAAATCAATTGGCCATATTTGTATGAGTCTATTTCTGGCCTTTCTATTTAATCTAAGTGTCTGTACTTTTGCCAATACCACACTGGCTCAGATACCATAGTTTTCTAGTAAATCTTAAAATAGGCTAAAATGATTCCTCCAACTTTGGTCTTTTTCAAAATTGTTTTAGCTATCTAGTTCCTTTGAATTTCAGAATAAATTTTACGATCAGATGGTCTACATCTACAAAAAATTCTGCTAGGATATTGATTAGAATTGCATTAAATCTATAGATCAATTTAGGCAAAATTGACATCATTACTATGTTGTATTTTTCAATCCATGAACACAGAATCCCTCTCCATTTATTTAGGTCTTCTCTGGTTTCTGTGTCAGGACTAGCAGTTTTGTTTTTTTTTTTTTAATTTTTTAACGTTTATTTATTTTTGAGACTGAGAGAGACAGAGCACAAGCTGGGGAGGGGCAGAGAGAGAGGGAGACACAGAATCTGAAACAGGCTCCAGGCTCTGAGCTGTCAGCACAGGGCCCGACATGGGGCTCGAACACACAGACAGCGAGATCATGACCTGAGCCAAAGTTGACCGCTTAACCGACTGAGCCACCCAGGCACCCCAGCACTAGCAGTTTTAAGCATACAGATCATGACCATGTTTTGGTAGATTGATACCTAGATATTTAATTTTTCTGGAGCCACTACAAGCGGTATAATTTTAAGTTCAAGTTTCTATTTGACAATTGATAGAAACTGATATTTTTC